CCAAAGCTAGTTAGATTCAGTAAGTCTGATTAATCTCAATATTATGGAAACTTTTTGGGAGAAGAATATTTGAAAAGTTCAATTAACATCGTGTATAATGCACAAGGAAATATATCTACAAAACAGTAAGCTCCTTGGTTGTATTTCTTTTATAATATATGATGAGATAAAGCATAATATAGGTATTAGATATAAGGACGAAGATGGCGTGGCCTTAGGCTTGGTTATAGTCTACCTGAGCTATAGTGAATTGGTAAAAGTTCGTTATCGCAAATTGGTCGGGCAGAAGAGAGACCTCGTAGAATGTGCTAAATCATCGGTCCGACGCTGGAAAATGCAATGATTAATATGGTAGAAGATACGAGACCGAGTACCTTCCATATTGTCAGCCGGTAACCCTAACCAAGTTGCGAAAAGAAGGTCATACCAATTTAGCATTAGTCTTTTTGAAATCCTTAAGTTCATGTGACCAAGGCGCACGCTTGATTATTGTAGATTATTAATAGCTTGGTAAACTAGCTCAATTTTCTGGATGGAGTAAATCAATAGCTATTATGTCATATAATCTTCTTTATCATGATGACTTATCACGACATGTTGCAAAATGAATCAAGTTGTTTGCTCCTACTACCCAAATTAACCTAATTACCCACGATTAACTGAAAATAAGGCCCAAACGTGAAAGGAAGGTTTTGATATCATAAAAGTTACTCGATAACTTGTTAGTCACCACAAAAAAGAGATTCAGTAAAATTATATCGATATATAATAGATTAACCTATAGCCCACTGAGGCTTAATTGTCAATTTGATCCCAAGAACGGAGACCTTGTGGAGCAAACCTAGTCCTGCGTCCTCTTTCATAGTATTAATGATGATTTACAGCATCAGACCATTGTCTTAGTATATTCCCAGACGTTTCACAGGAATTGTAGTCGACATCGTCAGTGAGATGCCGGCTAAATGTCTGGGAATGTACAATATTCGATGCAGTAAATCATCATTGATGTTATAGCAGAGGACGTAGGACTAGGTGCATTCCACAAGGCCTCCTTGTTGCCTCAATCGTTGTGAAAATGAGGTGAATTCTGATAGTTGCCACACCATCTTTACCTTCATATCTTAATCCCAAGAACTTTGAACCATCTTATCCAAAGTACAAATATTCCAATTCAAAAGGTCAAAAATTGTTAGTCAGAATGGATGGGTTGATGGATGTCATTAATTCGTCATTAAATTTTTTTTATTTTAATATAATACTTTTAATGCAAGCTATCCGAGCATACTATGAAATCTTGCACAAAATCACCCGTTTAATTCTTGCCCATGTGTGCAAGTGTACGGTAGAGTAATGGTTAATATTTATTATAAAAGGTAAAGACCTTAGCATCGCCGTCCAGTAAGAGGATAGGACGGATGTACTTTGCCTCTTCGTATACAGGGCCTGGCATCAGTACGGCCTGTAGAAGACGAGAAGGTAGGCTGGAGGGTTCAAGTAAAAAGTGGCTCGATCCAGTAGTAAGAGGTGATTGAAGGGCGGCCTCAGCAGACAGATGGAGAGAGGCAGGAACTCCGGTGATGGGATCGAAGGAGAAAAAAGTCGGTCGTCCAGTTATCTGTTGAAAGAAAAAAATTTTAGTTGGGCGAAGTGAATTGCATTTAAGAGTTTCCCCTATGGTTTGGAGGTAAGAATCTGATTATCGTGTAGAAAAAATTGGGTTTCAATCTGATTATCACCTTTGCCAATCAGCCGAATACTAGAGAATATAAAAGGTCTCAACAGCAGGATACATAAGATAAGCTAAATAAACTCAAAGATTACATATAATCATATATGTATATTGAGGGATTATTTGAGCATCATATAGTAAAACAATCCGCCTTTGTGATCGGCAGTCTTTGAAATGGCTAAACCATCAAAACGAAATGCTTATACAACAAATCACCCGAAAAACTAGATTCGCGAAAAAGCAATCGAGGTTAGGAATATAATAGGGAAGGATCTCTGAGAAAGCATCTCTTAAAAAAAATTATATTGGAAACCTAGCTGCGGATAATGGTAAATTAAGGAAGAAGGCCGACAATTCTTACCAAATCTACAACTTTGGTGAGCAGCATATCTGAAGAGTGAGTGCTAAATTGTACACTCAAAATACAAAATAACCAAATGCTGTGTTGTATGTGTTGATGAACAAAGTTAACATAATGTTTTCACATTAATAAAATGAGTAAGGATTGTAGTGCAAAAGAAGATTCGAAGATTAGTAATTTTCTGTACAAGGATTCTACCATAATTTTGAATAAGCGAAATACAAGTGTCGCTGATCTATTTTAAAACCAAGGTAGCTCGCAGAAAGAGTTTTATAAATATTATTTTGGGTGAGAATATACCAAAGTAAATATTACTAATGAAATTGAGTCATTATCGCTTACTGGCTAGCTTAACACACAATTGGGGTATTTTTGATGTACAAATAAAGCAAATTATTCATTCTAACGCAGCCCAGGTAACGGCCGTATGGACAATACAATGATTAGCTTATATGACGAGTCAGAGGCCCTCAGGTTGAAAGAGAGGGTTTTGAGCCGTCATCCAAAAGAAGGCTACTTAACGTCAGCTGAGTGATCATTCTAACTAAATTCACATTTTTTCAGTAGGCCTGCAATGCTCATCAACCCAAACAGGCGTACAAAGTTACACAATCCTAACCATGCGTTCCTTGAGTTATAAAATCTTGATTTCCCCCATAATAATGGGCTGACGGTTGCGTAACCTGAATTATAAGCATAAATGCTTACATCTTATTAATTCAACTAAAGTTACTTGCAGATCTACACAATATCGGTCATACTCTTCCTTTCGTAGCTAAGCCTTGATGACCCGATGCTGACGTCAGGCCGAATTATGACCGATATTGCATATAGAAGTTAACACGAGCGAACACAGAATAAACAATCGAGTATAAGAGAACTAACAATACCCATCTATATCTAAATATTTTTTTGTTATGAGCTAATGTAGTATGTAGGATAGAACCGATGAGTCTTCTTGACTTAAGATTAACTTGAAACTTGCAATAATGAGTTCCAACTCTGAGGATGTTCGCCATATGATGAAAAAAGCTCAGCTCCTCTTCACCCGAAACAAGGGATGTGGAAAGCGTCAACATGGAGGTCGTATTATAGCCAAACGGTAAAGAATAGCGGTAATCAGCCGTCTTGTTCGAGTGAGCTCGACCTAGG